GAAGACGGCACTTGCGAGATCTAGGTGTAGATGGGAATACTACAATGGATATTACACATAGAGTGTGAGATTGTGAACTAGCTTCATCTGTTGTTTAAAACGATTCCTTTTGGACTCTCTCGTCTAAATTACAGAATCACAACGTTCTGTTTTCTTCCGTTAAAATCGGGAATAAATGGGCAGTAAACCTATCTATTAAGCCCCTGGTTGAGCTAGTCTCACACCTGGACAGCAATAATAGCTTTCGAAATGGTGTAATTTATTACTTAGACGATGGACAAAGTCAAATAGCTCAGTTTTACAAAATATAATGCAACCTCATAGAAATCTTCAAACCTCGACTAGCTTCATCTAGTTAATATGAGTCAATGGCGGATTCCTCTGAAAACGATAATGAACTTTCGGATTAAACAAAGGATGGGAATTTCCTGACTAGCTGAGCGACTATCAGCTTAAAAGGAGAAGAAATCTAAGTTACAAAAATACTTAGTTTCTTTTCTATCATATTGCTAATGCAAAATGGTTTCAAAGACGGCAAGCAGAGCTTACCAAGCCACACAATAATGCATATGGTAAACCAAGAAACATTCCCAGAAAAGTTTCTCAATGCAACATTAAACAATAAACTGCCCTATACCAACACAAGTATCTTAACGTTTTGTGGATATGATCGTTAACAGACACTTGAACAATGAAAGGTGTGGCCATATCGGCACGACGATCTGTTTATCCATGGAAATTTTAGGTAATACCTCGGGATCTCCGAAATAAGATGCAGGCGTGCCAACCGCTTCACCGCGACGTTCAGTAAGCTGTATTTATTATGTTAATCGCGAGCGTCTGAATATGACCACGGTGGTCAAAAGTGGTGAGTATAAAATTGTTCCATTATGATTCGCGTTAAGTTTAGTTTTTTATTTACTAATCCAGTAAAGATAAACGTACAATTCAAATATTCCACTACTTCCAGATAACGAAGGCACGTGTCACGCCAAACAGAGGCGCGTCCCAACTAACAACCACTGAAGAACACATTTACAGAATATCCTGAATTATATGCGAAGTCAGTGAAATCAACGTGAAGTAGAATATTCTACAAAATGTATCTCCATTTATCTCCATATGTATGAGCTGCTTTAATCACAAATTCAAAGTAAATAAAATAAAACAGAACAAACTATAGAAACGCACACTTTGGCATGAAGTCTCTACAGAAACCTTCATAACCTTACTTCATGAGACTTGGCCCAGCGAACACACAGCCGACCTGCCTTGTACGAGCAATCGATAAACCCCTTACCAGGCAGGCTGAACGACCCAAACCATCGCATTGATTCGGCCGACGAAAACACATTGCAATCCATCCTACGCATTTATTCAGCACTGAAACCATATCAGTAAAAAAAAAAACTACATTAAACATTTTACCTGAATGTGCAAACTGACGACTTCTAGCTGCTGGCACAGCAAACCACCCCGTGTCAATGTCCGCCATATGTAATGTCTTGTGCTACACTACTGCCTTCTACAGGGAAAATTTAGTAATGTGCAACGTCCCAAACAAACTACCACCAGCTCACATGGAAACTCCCAACTCAAACGAAACTCAACACGCTTTTCCAAATAATTTCGATATCAATAAGTAATGACTGTGCATCTGGGTTCGACATTAGGCTGCACTACTTTTCCTAGAATATTTACATATCTACTGTCCAATTGCATATTAGACAAAGTAGAGTCTCTCTATCTCGAGTTCCGGTAAAAACATCGGTAAAATTTCACAAGTAAAACCCAAATTCTGAAGCAACGTGACACTTTAAATCTTGCCGATGATCACTTTGCGCTGTGTTTCAACATAAAGTAAGGCAACAGATGAATCTCCAAACTTAACACTTAATAAAGTCTGAATTATTAAAGATTTTGCATTGCAGCACTTCAACTCTACAATTACTGCTGAGGAGAACTCTGGACTAAACTAAAAGCAGGAAGCAACAGGAGGCTGCTGAATATTACACAGGCCTAATAAGAACTCCAAGATGTTTGCTGTTCGCCTAACAGTATTACGGCCCCACTTAACATGATATGGTAGGCGGATGACGTAGCATGCATGGGGGAGGTGATAAATGTAAACGTTTTAGCCGGAAAACTTGGTGGAAAGAGACCACTTGGGATATAGAGAGATAGATGGAAAAATAACATTAAAGCTGAGCTTAGAGAGATGAGGTGTGAGGACGTGGATTGAATTTGGCTCAGAAGATCCTGCGGCAAGATCTTTTGTATGGGATAATGAAGCTTTGGAGCCAAACAAAAGTGTTTCTTTTTCCTCCCCATCGACAGACTATCAGCGTTTGAATTGGGGTTTTAGTTCTGCAAACATTTAAGCAACACTTACCTTCTTTCTATGCGCATAAATAAATAAACAAACAAAACGAGTTAACTGAACGGAAAGTACAAATATGCAATTATAAAAGTAACAACGGTCTGATCTCACGCATGGAACATGAGTGGAGGATTGCGTGCCACGTTTAGAACGTAATGAAATGCACAATCTTCGAGAGTGATTTCGCATTGTTCGAGGCAGCGAATAAAGAAAGCGACTCTTTGAAATTTAAAAGGGCTTGAGTCTAAATTATATCATTACGAGAACAGTGTTGCAGTGCTGCTAACGGACGAAAATAAAAAATCCAGTACCAACGTTTTTCACACCCAGACATTATTTACTTAGACTTGAAAAAAAAAAACGCTCAACTTGTACACACTAAAATTCGTCGAGAAAACTTGTGTTTAGTTGCGTTCGCAATAGCTTTGCAAAATGTGCCTATTAGCTTTGCCATGTTACAATGCCTGTCGGTCCGCATGCAGCAACTCCAGAACCACTGGCAAAATATGACATTTCACACGGAGGCCCTTACTAAAATTTATCGATGCATTCCAATTTTGAAACAATTGGACAATTGACCATCCTCGTAGCGTGAAATAATATTTGTGAACCTTGAAAGGATAATTAATGAACTGTCATTCAACGATAAGTACTTGTACTGACATGTGAACTTCTACCTCATAATAAATCAAACGAAAATAAAGTCCGACAAGCCGAAACATTAAAACAGGGTTACAATTACAACCGAGACTTCTTACTTGGGTTTGGGCGAATCGGTGACGCTCCAACACATGAAGGGCCATGCCACGGATCTGCTGCCGAAACAAGGTGCCTACCTCATGTACAAATAACGCGCGAGCTGCTTTCATTACGACTAAATCAAATGGACCAAATCCATCTCAGTTTTAACCTGTGACTTAATTTCTCTGGCCAGGCAATAAAGGCATACCGGAAAAGTTGGATGAACTTTCCGCATAGTTTAATGAGATTCTGCTAAATTATAAACCTATTTATAGTGTGCCATTTAACGTCATATACGAATGATTTGCAATATAGATCTAATGTGGCAAGTGCCCATGCCATTCATATAATCGCCGAAATAGAAAACCCCCAATTTATCGTTCATTTACACTGTGTAACTAAACACTAAATTTGAACGGACGGTTGAAATGTTCAATGGGCTCTCGGTCGGGGTACTTCTTAGTTTTGTCCATCGTTATTACTGATACTACCCATCCTAGGAGTAAGGCACGTAGGTATTCGACACATCCATACATCTACGTCGCTTTCGCATTTGCTGTAACAATTTTGTTAACACAGCAGAGCCCAGTACCGTGTATGTGGTCATTTCAATTAGCACCAAAATGACTGAACTCAATGAGAAACTGTTACTTGGTCCTAACAGTTTTAACACCCATTCGCACGCATTATAGTGTACTATTAACATTACAATTTACTGAACATGTTAGTTGAAGGACACTTTAAAACTTAGAATAATTAACTGTCAGTAACCTCTCTTCGTTTTCACAAAATCGGTAGATCAGATGAGTAAAACTGGGCATATTATTACATACGCTGCATACAACGCTATACAATAAATCACAGACGTGAAAAAAAATTATCCACAGCCTTCTTACTTCAAATATAGCAGCTAACAACAGTTCTGAATATGGCGATAAGTCATTGCCCTGATGATGAAGGCAGCAGGTGCCTCTGAAATGTTGGTGAACTACCGGCCCGCACGGCGCGACAGTCATCTTCACAGTCGCCGCCGTGAGAACCTCATACCCTACTCCTGTTCAAAATATTAATAAATTTCAATGAGATACAAAGGAATATTAAAAGTTACGGAAATCCTTCTCTCGTTATTATGCACCATTGCCAATCGAGTTGATGCCTCAGTAACATGTAACTACTTTCTCGGCACTTTGTAATGGCCAACAAACAGTTAGGGATAACCAGTATTTGTTATCACTATCACTTGTTTACAAGCGGTTTAAATAGCGGAACTCATAAAATGGTTGGGGCACAATGATATTCGTCGGTAATGAAGTCATTAAGTAGGCCTACGCAAGAAGCTTATCAGCGGTGTAGAACGTTCCATTTGGTGGCATCAATACAAGACGAGTTGGATTTGAGTTTCTCACGACGGCAAATAAAAAGATGGCTGACTTCTAGGATATAAAGCCGAGTAGTCTTGCAGACCCTTACCGGTGTTTCAGAGGTCCTTGCTGCTTCCATCGCCCTGATGCTGGAGGCACCTAGTACCTCTGAAACTTCGGTAAACTTCTACCAGATAACATGGCGCTACAACCCATAAGACACCCGTCTTCAACAAAACGAGTTGTTTTTCAGTTGTTATTTGTTCGTAATAACTTACACAACGCCTTTACTGAAAGGCCCACCACCTTCTCGAAGACAAACTTTCAGTCTTCCCGTGTCCCGAAATTCTGTTACCAGTCAGTTATTCGGTACTGCCTTGTCAGAATACACACTACAGAGTACTTCAAGAGAACACAAGGAAGACTTCGAAGGCAAAATAATGTTGAAGAATGGACACACGTTCTGCTCGTAAATGATCGGCTAGGCCATGTTATTTCAGTCGATATGTGAAACTCACCCCTGCCAACACTCTCGAAGCGACCCTCCACCTTGCTGCGAAGAGAGTCCAGATCGAAAGGCGGGCTGAACCCATGATCCACACTTCGACTCTTGCTTCTGCAATAAAAAGCAAATGATCGAACTTGTCATGTGACATTCCTATGGCAAAGGACACACAGCACATTAAATAATTTGCGTGCTCAAAATTAAGTATTTACACTACATTCCTACTAAAATAAAATACACAGACCATTTCTCCTGCTTGACAGAATAACAAGCACGGCACGTGTATCCGACATTTTCCAGAAATAACTGGAGATAACTTACTGCATTTTAACATCAGATCTGTAGAATACTGTAGTGGGCTGCAACTTATTTGAGAAGAATATCTCCATTTGTGAGAGAAAATTACGTAACAAGGAGCTTCGTAATTTGGACACCACCAAATATTACTAGATCGGACAAATCTAGGAGGAAGGGACATGTAACACGCATGGAGATGATAAATTTATTAAAAAAAATCAGTCAGGAAACCTGAAGAGACAACTTTGGAGATCATGTGTAGATGAGAAATTAATATTCCGATGGATCTTTAAAAAAACCGGGTGTAGCTGTGTGGATTGTATACAACTGGCTCAGGATATGGTCCATTGGAAGGCTCTTGTGAATACGGAAGTTAAGCATCCATAAAACGCGGGAAATTTCACTAGCTAAGCGACTATCGACTTGTGGGTATTTCCACAGCATTTATGTAGGAAATAACATACACTGAAAAAGCGAAAAGCATGATGGGTAATTACAACTCAGAGCTACACTGCTCACCAAAATGTTCGGATGCATGCCCCGTGCGGGGTTCCGACTTGTAAGAGATCGACAGGCCTCATTTCTTAATTCTTGAACACGAAGTGGAAGGAAGGTTAGGAAGCAGGAATCGACAACGCGAAACACGAATCAGAGAGTACGGCGTATGCTTATCATTCCTACATAAGCTTTTCTTGTCCGAGGCATCATTTTATTTAATATTGGCGAAGTAGTTCCAAAAAGTTTAGTTTTTGCCAACAAAATGTCGTAAACTAAGTACACGTCAAACAGATTCTGGGAATACAAGCGACATTCCGGTCGCGCTAGTGCTATATGTGTTGTGGCATTAACCGTGTTAAAACAGTTATCACTTATGAGAGAAAACATCCTTCGCAAAATGAGTCTTCTCGGACGTCGCGCCGTGTAGTCTCGTAAAAACTGGCCATGTTTAATCTGAGGTGCTTACTGCCTCCACCTTCCCGCCAGCGAGAGAAACTTAAAACTTCCGTTCAAGCAGTTTCTTTCATTCACAGTTACAGGTCCAGTTCTTTTGGTTGCTACAAACACTAGGCTGCCTAAATTTTAGCTCGAAACCACCACATTCAGAAACTCCGAGACTCAATTTCATAAGTGCCTAAACTTCTACGTCACGGAACGTTGAAATATGAATCGGCTGACAGCTAGTGATCAGCGCCCTTGCTTCTTTAACAGGGGTTCCCGGGTTCGAATCTCGGCTCGGAGGCCAGCTATCCTGTGGGGTCTTCGTGGCAAATTACAAATTAAAAAATTAATTGAATAAACCAAGAATAATTCCATCACACGTAAATAATGCAAACTCAGGAACAAAACAAAAGCCTGTCTAGAACACAGGAGGTCCTATTCCCAGTCGCCTCTACAACCCCGATTTCCTTTCCTCCCCACATCCCACCGAGAGCCCGTCCCATGCCAGAGACCCCATCGTGACACACTTCAGCCCTAAAGATGGAGGTGTTATGCCCCTTCGAAACATTGATGACCACTTACAAGAATACACGACGTTGCAACTCAGACGATCAAAAAGAAAAAGGCAGACAAGAACAAGTTCCGATTCAGTAAAGAGTTGCGTCTCGTGGGAGAATCCACGGACACTTGCGTTCTGTTGCGGAAACAAATTTTTAAAATAGCAGACGCACTGATGTACTAAAAAGAACTCGGAATCTGGAAAAACGTGGGGTACGAACGACAGACAGGGACACGTACGGGATAATTAATCATTGCACCACGGAGCGGAAAAGTGGCGGCTAACAAATGAGAGCCGTGAAACTGCGATTACTTGACTGCAATATAACACATGCGTGATTAATTATTACCTCACCGTACATCGTTAGTTTATAAATCGCTGAAATACATTCTTCTAATCCTGAGATTTTATGAAGGAGACTGGTCTCTCCATCTACATGCTAATCGCCTGACATTTATTACCGACGGAGTTTATGCTCCATACTGCGCTCAACACGCCGTTACAAGTCCACGGAGTATTTCAACTGGAAGAACTGATGAAGGACGTGTCATGAATAGTAATTAACAAGTGCACTGTATTACCTATACAGGTCCCAAATGGTGGTGGTGGTGGTAGTATATTATTTGTAAGATTTGAGGTTTTCACAGCGGTGAGTATGAAGATTTCTCTCTTCTGGATTGTTGCGCTGTGTAGTATGGTAGATGCTTACCAACGTTTCGTAGGTCATAATGCCTCCGTCATCAGGGCGATTAATCGCATTATTACCTCCGAAACTTTGGTAAACATCTACCACATTACACGGCGCAACAACCCAGATGACAGAAATCTATTATATTATTTTAGTCATCGTCATCATCATCATCTAATTTCAACTGATTAAGACTCTCGTAACAAAACCCGAAGGTATACAACATTGCTAATACAATGGCCGTAACCAAACACGGAGCCTTGATGACTGTTGCACTTGCACATGTGGCCGTGAAGGGAATACTGCGAAGAGATAGCAAATACGGAGAGTTAACCCAATCTTCAAGCAGACTATCGAATATTAAATTATTACGTTTAGGCTGTAGAAACAGCGTGTGCCTGCATTGCTGGTGTTTTATAGTTTATATGGATTACAAAACACAGTGTAGTGTAGAAGTGAGTCAATGAAAATGCCTCCGAGTGCGTCTAAATTAAAACGGAATTTAAGTCTTCCTTGTGGATTCTTTCCTTCAGGCATTCCAACCAAAATGTATGCATTTCACATATTTCCCATGCGTGCTACATGCCCCGCTCATCCCATCCTCCTTGACCTGATCATTTCAACAATATCTGGCGAAAAGTAGAAATTGCACAGCTCCTATTTATGCAATTTTCTCCAGATTCTCAACACTCCTTCCCTCTTAGGTGGAAGTATTCTCCTAGGCACCCCGTTCTCAAACAAGACAGATCTCTCTTTGCCGTGACAGACCAAGTTTCATACCCATATAAAACAACAGGTAACATTATATAGGTTTGTATATTTTAATCTTTACGTTTTTAGACAGTACACAGATGACAAAATATTCTGAACTGCACAACAACAAGCATTTCCAAAATTTAGTATGCTCTTAATTTCATCGTAAATGCAATTCTTATTTGTTAACGTCGTTCCAAGTATTTAAACTTCGTCACATTTTAAAAGAATTTATTTGCTAATAACTGCTCCGTGTTCTAGTGACGAGACATGAACACGTGCTTAGTAGTCCAGACCAGCTTCCTTCCTAGCAGCTAATAGATCTTCTGCATTTTAACGATGTTTTCGCCTAATAAATTAACATAATTAGCGAAGCTGAAAGGCAATGGTGATACAGCAGTAGTAGCTCTTCGTTTCAGACCATTCTGAACTGGAATACAGCACGCAAATGTTTTCCAACACGGACTTTACCTCAGGTTTTATTTAGACATATTTTAATTAGCCTAATTGGTACACTGAATTCAATAAGAATGCTGTATAAGACCGTTATAAGTAAATCATAGTCGCCATTAAAGTTGCAACTATTACCATTATAGTTTTAATTCTGTTCCTTACAACCCCAGCCGATTACTGGCTTTAAGATGCTAATTTGCTATATTTAGTGTTAAAAGATTCTAATATTTACAATAAATTGTAGATGCATTTTGAAGTAATCATCGACAAGTGTGACGATAACACGTCATACCAAATATTTCACGAAAATGCATTTGCTGCTTATGGTCATGCAGCATATTCTGAAAAATATGGTACAAAAAAAATTGAGTCATCCTTTACAGACGAAAGGCAAACAAATCTGGTTAACATGATTAGTGTTGCTCTTAAACTTTACTATGTGGGGACACTCAACGAACGGTGTAGTGAACATATTACGCCAGTGTCTGAAAGCATTTCTCCTGCACCTGCGTTTTTAAATTCCAGCCTGAATGAGTTAGAAATGCATCGCTTCAAAAGCTTCAGCAGAGAACTGAACTCAAAGCAAGTTCAGTGTCCCTTGCGGAAACGTAACATGAGCAAAAACGCTTTCTCACAATATGCACGCACTTACAGGCGAAAAAAAATTCAAAAGCGGTGGGATTTTGCCCATTACGGAAAAGGATACAACATGGAGAAGGAGAGGTGCATTAGATACGTATGGACCAGACTCTAAACAGTCTTGTATAGTCCACAAAACAAACAACTAGTAAAGGAAGCACTTCATACTAACTCGAAGAAGAGATTTCATAGGTCTACCTAAACAGCAAAATTAATTATCAACTCCATTAGAACACGCGTCTACATCCGACTTGATGATGCAAAAACTTCCTCAACTACACCGGTTATTTGCAACTGCGAACACATAAAGTGTATTGAACCAACCTTCTACTTAAAAGAAATCGTCCTGATGATGAAGGCAGCAGGGCCTGCTGAAACATTGGTAAACTTCTACCAGACTGACTATATGGCGCGAAGTCCTTGAACTTCGCTACAGAACCACAATGTTGGACCCTGACCGCTGTCCAAGTTAGTCTCCAACTTTGTTGCACTTCAAAACTACTCCAATGTATTTAAATTTTGCACAAAACAGACCAAGTTGGAAAGCGTTCATCCGAATGATGTACTTTTCACACACATGTGAAATCTGTGTGCTGAAGTAATTTACTATTATGAGATAAGTGTCAGGTTTTCTGGTGCAAATTCAGTTCAGAAATTACAGCTGTACACCGTCTTTTTCCTTCAGCAAGGGGCGTATTTTAACATGCTCTAGCGTTCAATAACAGATAACTTTCAAGGGCGTTATTTATTCTGATCGACCTTAAACACACACGCCTTTGAGGATTCAAGGTCTTCATAGCGGTAATGATGATCTTATGGGATATGGCATCGTGAAGACTCGTGGGTAGATGACAACGTTTAGTCTCCATTTTCAGTGCTAAGATAAGTAAAACATTATTGATTTCAGAACTAATTTTTTGGGACATGACATAGTACAGTTTTTCTTGTTGGTGGATACCAACACATCGGAGAAATTTGTTGCCTAGTTTTGAAACAGAATTTCATGCACATGCCTCGTTCTATACTCCGTTGACTTTCTGGAAATACAAAACTCGCAGAAATATATAATGAATTTAACTCTGAACACGATGCTCTACTGACGTTACGTATAGGTCAAAAAGCTCATCTATAACACCACTACCCTGGCGACGTAGCATGCAAGTTGCACAGCCGTATCGCACCATACCGACACATGCTAAACGCATAAACTTCGCACACATAAAGCATAATCATCCCTCAGAAGCTGAAAGTCGCTCAGCTAGTCAAAATTTTTCCATCATTTACAAAGCTCAAAGTTCCATTATTACATTTACAACAGCCCATCACTGGCTCCTACCCGACACAGATGAATCCGGTCCACAGGTTCACAGCCAACTCCCTAATCACCATCTTCATATTTGCATTGTTATCTACGCTTAGGTCGCCCAAGAGGTCAGTTTCCTTCCGGTTTTCCGGCCAAAATTTAGCACGCGGTTTTCATCTCCTCCGTGCGTGCTACATGTGTCTCCTTCCTCTCATCTTCCTTCGTTTTATAGCCCTAATAACACGAAAGAAAACTAACTTTGCTGTACGAGCAGACCTAATACTTGTGGCACGACCCAGCCGAAGTTAATGTCCTACAGAGTGGCTGGTTAATGCGAACACTAAACGTCTCAGGTTGCCAAGAAACTCCTACTCATGTATACAGCCACTTGTGTACAAGCATTCGGGACTGGGCATATTTCCAGCAAGCAATTCAACTTACGGTACAGAGACGTGTGTGCTGCGACCGACGTTTCAGAGGTGCGTACTTCCTCCATTAACAGGATCAAGATGTTGTGTGAAGTAAAGTAACCAGCAAGAAAACTCAGATATTCTGGATTGGTCTGACTGACGTTATGGACAAGAGATCGCAAAACGAGCTACAAAACTCCCTCCATCTACCACGAAAACTGCTTCGTCGTTCTAGTACACATATAGAAGTTCCTGGTCAACCCTGAACCGTCCTGCAGTGTGGTAGCGCTTAGGCACAATATGTAATAATATAAGATTCAGTTGAGTCGAACAATTGTCGTCAGGGAAAGATTCGATGTCAGCTGTAAATTTTAAAATTTTCAAACAAAGCTATCAGAGGGGCAATAATGACTTTTCTAAATGTCGCAATTTCCTACGAGACATGGGTCCATCATTTTACTGTCGAAAGGAAACAGTTCAGTATGAAACAAATTCAGGATGGTGATACACAAAAAAAGGCAGTCATTATGTTTTGGGAAGCTAAAGATGTTATTCAGTGGATTTCCTCGATTAAGACCATAACATGAACACCAGTTACTGCTGCCATCTCCTAACGACACAGTTCGTCCACATTGATTTGACCGTGAATAGCCCACACTGACTGTACAGGGGTGGGGTGTACAAAATGTCAGAAGAAATATAATTTGCAAATATTATTTTTCTGTGTGAACTGTGTGATTGAAATAACTTTAAGGTCTAGAACAACAGCAGTAAACACACCAACTCAAGATTACAAATATATCTAAGAACAAATTCGGCTTTCGGATATAAGCGGCGAAAGTGTTCACCGTTTTAGCAAATACTGCAGCCATCTTCAGATTATTTTTACCGTAAATTCGCTCTACAAGTTTAACGAAGATCGCTCTGTAGTTTCGGACGTGAAATATGCGGTCAAACAAACATCTCATAACGAGTTTATTTACGCACAACAAACAAAGGATGCATAAAAATGCGTTATTAAGAGGTGGGGTTGGTAGAATACTCACCTTTGCCATGGGACGATGCTGTCGCTAGAGCGTGTGATGTCCTGAGAAGCGCGCCGGGATCTGGTCATAAAACAAAAACAGAAAGAAACGAAAATAGTAAAATAAAATAATAAAAAATTATAACCACTAAAAAGTAAACCCGCCATGAACCAAAATAAGTTGAAACATAACAAAGGAATAACTACAGAGTTGAAATTATAAACCTTTTCATCTTATCAAAAGTTAAAATAAATTGGACTGTCATCAACTTTTATCTCCCAGCTGTTTACAATATGATTATCCAGAGGCAGCACTTTCCACACTGTCAGTGTCAAGGTCTGCTACAAAACACGCCTTAATTTCATAGGCTGCTGAGGGCCTAGAGGTATGGTCTGCAAGCTGGCGCCATCTGTTGATTACATCTTGAACTAACTGCGCTACTCAGCTGCAATACAACGAAAGCAACTAAAAATGTAAGGCGGTATGCGAGCTTGTCGCAGCGAACAAAAACTGGACAGGAAATTAGTAAAGTAGGTCCTTCTTTCATGCATTTTGCCCTCCTAAACACAAGACCCACACACATAGTTGTGCCGGTAAATGCCACATTGTTTATTATAAATTAATTAACTTGGTTTAAACGTAAGAACAATTGCTTTGTTGTTCTTCATTTTTAGATCCTTCCACTGTCACCCGAAACTGACTTTATAAACAGTGAAAACAAATAAAACAGAGTAACGCAGTATTTCCCCGCGTATAGCCTATAATTAAACAAAACGCGAGGTCCGCGATGTTCAGATCTTAGCTGCAACAGTGTTGCACACAGTAAATCTGGTTGCATTATCGATTCAACATCACTTGTAATAGGAAGCAGGTCGTTGAATACAAACTAAAATAAAACCACAGCGTTTAAATTAATACCAGTACTGAATCACAGACTAGGTCCTAGTGTTTCAGGGTATACGAGTAACAAAGAAACGGGGACAGGTTAATTAAAATCTGCAAACTATCCAAAGAAAAATCACATACTATCTCCACCTTCTATTCCGTTGACACGTAAAACTCAATTCAGTTTGTTTCTTCATTCCCATGTATACATTGCAGCTCGTACTTCACTTCATCGCTTCGTATAATGCTATAAAACTCTTTCGAGTAAGATGGCGGCTGTCAGCTAGGTCGTTGCGCCGTGTGGACTGACACAGGTTTACCAACGTTTCAGTGGTCCTTGCTGCCTCCATCATGAGGGTGATGACCTTGATGATGGATGCACCAAGGACCTCTGAAACGTTTGTAAACTGCTAGACTACACGGGGCTACAACCCATAAAACAGTCATCTTGGTATTACCCGACGTGACAACCTCAAATCCTGCTGTTTAGAGCATGGTCATGTAATCTTTTTTCGTAAATAATGCTTTGAGTCTGATGAACATCATGCATTAAACAACCCAGTACGTACTTTTTAATTTAATTTGTGTTAAAATATTTTGTAACAACTTATTTTCTAAGAAATCTCATTTCACGCCCTTGAAGCCAAAGCCAGTTTCCTCTCTCAACACGGATGTTTCAGTTTCACTAAGTACACTGAAACGTTTCCAGTCTGTTTAATATAATAAATCTTCCACAAACAGTTCACAAACTATGTCGTGTATTGTTATTAAGATCTAGAATATTTTCTGTTTCAAAACATTGTTGGTTGTAGGCAATTTTACAAGCTTCTATATTTGACGCAACGCGGGTTCTAATGGACCTATAAGAAACATAAACCACACCGACCGTATTTATTGTGGACCTCCGATACAAAACGTGATGGAAATCAATCTAGAACTTTTGAAAGTATAACATGAGCGTACAAACGCGAGCAAAGCACGACCTCCCCATTCCTTACACAATGCATAAAAACAAGGAAAGGTCAATTAACATTTCTGACAGGACAAATATATTTTCCAAAACACATTTCCACAGGGGCGGAGAGTTCATGTTAACTGTGTTAGCCAGGCTAACTCTTTGACGAACAAGAAACAAAAAGTGTCTTTTATCTAACTTCCGTGGTTCAATAGTACTGAATACACTTGAACACAGTAGAACCGATAAGATAAAATGCATCGTTAGCCAGCTAGTTGAGGCTTACGATCGGTGCGAGCGTTCCAAATATTTTTCTTAAAATTTTGGAACATAAAGCTAGGTTCCCATATTAATGCTTTCATTCTCGTTCATGTCGTGGACAGCTCACTTTAATTTCGACATCTGCCCTCTGATTCAAGTCCGGTCCTGCCCGTTTCTTAGAAAGCTATCATTATGGATTTGGTCTTGCCGTGACATTTTTGCAGCTTGCAGACAGCGTCGGCGCTTGGTACCTGCGTCAGAGCGAAACGTTTGCATGCTAGTCTAGCTAAAGATAGTCGACTTAAGTAAGCCTATGGATCTTTACGAGGTACCACACATAGGCTTCCACTTGGATCAATGAATTCAGGACATTGCGTTCACAACACCTGAACAGTTACTCTAATGCAATCTAATAAACAATGTAATGACGCCATATTCTGCGTACAATTGTAGCGTTAATGGTCCCCAGAGAGGTCAGGTAGAGACAGATTTGACCTTATTAGGTCACGGCGGTGTACATGTCGATGTTGGTCTTTTGGGTTCTAACGCCGTGTGGAATTGTAAGGTGATATGAAGGTTTCGAAAAAAATGTTCAGGGATGTTGTCTTAAAAATAAATGCCGGGGTACCACCGCACGCCGTTCTAAACTGAGAGAAATCTCCATAAATCGTGAAGAAGCCGTTCTATTATTAATAACAAATTTAACATTTTAAATTAATAATTAAACGATAAACAACTCAAAGACGCAAACAAACATGTCCTCTGAATTTTATACTATACAGTTTCAAGCGTTCAATTTAAAACGCAACCCTAACTACAATATAATTTGAAAACTTTTTAAAGTTTTTATTTGTAAGGAAGAACATGCAGTACAACTTTAAAAAAAAGCTGTCCCACTATACACCATGTAGGCGCTTGGGGGGAGCGGAGGTATAGCTCCTACTCTTTCTTGACCTCGGCACCAGATGGGGGGGAGTGGTCAGCATCACGTTAATGTGTTTTAATTTCTCCAAGCTTCATGGGTTATTGGAATAAACTGTTTCTTTGAGAAATTCCTAAAGAAGGGAGTCTGACGGGGCAAGGTCGGGAGATCAAGGCGGCCAAATGCCACACCCTACAATGCACTCAACAAAGAACTCCCGCAGTAAAGCAACAGAGTGCGCAGCGTGGGCCGCCACGTCAACATAACAAAACTAGCAATCCCTCACCTGTCAACACTGTTCGACGTCGGACATATATCTGCCGTAAATAATTCCTGTGCCCTGAAATTTTGTTACAGACGGCGTATTATTGTCTTATTGGGTACTTCCTGCAAACACTTCACAAACAGTACCAAACGATTTTGATGCGAGAATTAACAAACTTTTTGCTCGTGAACACACCTTGTTCGCACCTGCGCATTTTTGCGAAATTGGCGTGAGCAGCGTCCTGACAACCAGGGTGACCTTGGCTCAAGTGTCACAGGCAAGGTCGTGGACCTGCTCCTGATTTCACTGTCGTACCAAGAACGTGGTTGTTGCTTGCTTGATGTAAACGGTACGCACTGTATTTTAAGTGGGGGCTTACAACCCTCCTTACCCTTCAGCTACAACGCCAGTGTAACACCACTTCCGTTAATAAAGTTCCAAGGCGACGCCCGACACTCAAAAAAGCACCTGGATACAGCTCTGCCTTGACTACAACCCTGAAGATGAGATAAGTACGTGCCTCTGAAACGACTGAATCTACCTACAAATATAAACGACATTACAACCCAGGATACCAACGTATAATTTACGATATACACCAACAGATTTTAGCGAGGTTTTAGTCAGTTTGATAGACGCGTTTCAGTTTTATTAAGCTGTATTCAGCGACATATTATTTATGCCAACAGCTTTTAATACAAATTTTGTCAGTTTATTTGATATACATATTTGAAAGGTTACAATTTTCCAAGTGCCCATTACATCACAAGAAGAAACGACTTAAGAACGGAATTAACCGATGTAGATGAATTTTAAAATGCCAGCTTTATAGAGACTGGACATTTTTGTCTCAGCAAAAGTATTCATTATCGGGCGAGAATATTCACAAGCAACACATGAGTCCTTTTCATATAAAGTTGCTGACACACACGCACAAGACACACCTTCACGGAAGGACATGCCATGGGTTTGCACAGACAAGTACGCAATAGCCGATCTGCACTGTCTGAAACCAAGCAGTGTTATGCACGCGTCGAACGAATAAACCGTGTTAAGGCCAAGGTGAGACCCTGTAATCATGCAACCATGGACCACGACCTCTCGTTACCTCCCTTCAGGCCATTCGCAACCTCCTACCTGTAGGATATAACCTCATACATCACAATAAGTGTCCAGATGGCATTGTTCTCACAGAGGCGAACCTCAAAATTCATATAACAATTACGAGCACAGGCACAAAGCGGGTGTTTTGGAAAACACGTAATTTGTCCTCGATACTTAAATCATTTGTTTGCGGACTTACTGTAGACAAGGTTAATTTTACCGTTTCTCAGAAGAGGCCAATTAATTAGTTACAATTCCTTGATAACACATTCACATTCCCTCTAATGACCCATAGATTCCACTTCCGGAGGCGAAGGTAGACAATGGACGAATTTCTTGAATGTTCATGTAGGTGTAAAGTACTTTATATTTACAGTTTCATTCCGGTTAATAAAGTGATATCGACACAGTCTAGCAATTGATACACACTGTGTTTGCAGCAAGTATTATGACAGAACAGAAACACTATTAAGAATGCTAAAATTACGCATCCTATTCTACAGAAATTAAAATGCCTGCGTTTTTGCAAATCACTGGTACGAGCGTACTACAGGAAGTTGCATTAAACACACATATCACTCAGCCTGCCAATATTTTAGTCCGCTGATCGTTTCAAGCGTCCACGGTAAACTTCTACCAGACTACACGGCGTTACAACCCAGACAACGCCTTTGAGAGCGCACCCATAA